AGAAGGCCTCAAAGATCATCCAGTCCAACTATCCACCTATCACCGCTGTTTCCCACTAAACCATGTTGCTCAGTACAACATCTAAACACCTTAAAACTTTCTTAAACACCTCCAAGGAATGCTGACACTCCCACCTCCCTGGGCAGCCATTCCAGCACCTGACCACACTCTCTCAAAAGTATTTCCTAGCATCCAACCTGAATCTTCCCTGGCACAATCTGTGACCATTCCCTCTAGTCCTATCGTTACTCACATGAGAGAAGAGGCTGATTCTCATCTCACCCCAGCGTCCCTTCTGATAGTTGTAGAAAGCAATAAGGTCACACCTGAGCCTTCTTTTTTCCAGATAGAACAATCCCAGATCCCTCAGCTGCTCCTTCCTTGCCTGCCCCTTTTGAAGAGCATGTACTCATCCATTGCAGCAATCCAGCCGTTGGACCAATCCCACTAAGTTTTCATAATGGCAAGAAAATCATAGTTTGGCTTCCAGATCTTCCTGTTTGTTGCCCATACTGTGTGCATTGTTACAGATGCACTTCAGCTGAGCCACTTGCCTTACCCCTAGTCCCATCATCATTCCTCTAGGCTCACCTCTAGAAGGCCCATCTTTGTTTCCTTCCTGCTTCATATCTAGTTTAAATTCCTTTTAACTAGCCCTGCCAGCACCTGGGCTAGATTCATTTCCCCCTTTGAGATAGTTGAGAGCCACCCACAGCCATCAGACCAGGTGCTAAGCAAATTGCCCCATGATCAAACAAGCCAAAATACTTGCATTTGCACCAGCCTCTCTGCCATGTATTTATGGGACTGATTTTCCTGCTCCTTTCAGTATCCTTCCTCAGGATCTGACTCTTGGTCTCGAACTTCATCCCGTTGTCTGCAGCCTATCCAGATCCCTCTGAAGGGTCTGCCTATCCCCAGGAAGATTGATACTTACACTTTGCTGTCATCTACAAATTTACTGAGAGTGTGCTCAGTGCCCTCATGCAGGTCATCAGTGAAGATACTGAACAGTATGGGCCCCAGTACTGACTCCTGGGGAAAAGCAATTGTGACTGGTAACAGTTGGATTTAACTTTGTGGGCCTGGCCCTACAGTCAGTTCTTTATCCAGCAAAGAGTTCACCTGTTCAGGCCATGGGCTGCCAGCTTCTGCAGGAGAATGCTGTGGAGAGACAGTGTCAAAGGTTTTGCCGAAGCCAAGGTACACTATGTCAACAGCCTTTTTCTCATCCACGAGATGGGTTTTTTGATCATAGAAGGAGTTCAGGTTGGTAAAGCAGGACCTGCCTTTCATGAACTCATGCTAACTGGGCCTGATCTCTCAGCTGTCCTTCACATGCCATGTGATCTCCCTCATGATGAACTGTTCCACAACCTTTCCTGCCGCCAAAGTCAGATGACAGGCCTGTAGTTCCCCAGTTCCTCTTTATGACCCTTCTTGTAGATGAGAGTCACACTGACAAGCCTCCAATCCCTGGGACCTCTATGGTTGACCAGAAACACTGATAGATGATGAAAAGTGACCTGGCAGTCAACTCCTCCAGCACTCTCAGCACTCTCTGATAGATAAATTGTAATGACAAATGATTGTTTTGTACATCTGCTGCCACAGCTGTACAGCTAACTGGCAACCAACAAGCATTATTAATGAGGCAGAGTAATTGAAGCCTTTGGCATGCATAACCTACCCATGGTTATCCAGGATATTGCTTGTAGTTTTTGATTGTGCTTGGAATTTTGAAGGAATTGAAGAATTTTACATGTTCATTTGCCTTGAGTCATTCTTGCACACTGAAAGTCCCTCTAACACAAACAGAACAGCCTTTTAACTTTTCTAACTTCATCAAAACTATACTGTATGGAAACTGATTAGAAATATCATTGCTTTCACTTGAAGTTCTTGCTGATGACACCAGACCTTCACTACATACTGAATTTTCAAAATGCAGCACTTGTATTTCCAGTTCTGAACTTTGCATCACTCAGTGATTCTTTGGTATGAAAAGATTTATTAGCAGTTGTTGAGTCTTCAAAGAAATAAAATTATCAGTAGGTAAATTAATTTTCGTAACTTCTGTCACTAATGCGTTATTAGTAAGACTTGGCAGAGCTTGCAAGACCATCTGTATTTTGTGCCTATGGCAGAGCTTGCAAGACCATCTGTATTTTGTGCTTATCTTCAGCTTACTGCTTTTCTGTAAAAAAAAATCAGGTCTGGTCCAGTGAGACAGCTCTGCCAAATGTTTGTTGGTTGGTCTTTGGTTGTTTACCTGGTTAGTTGTCTTAACAACCAATACCATCTCAAAATATTGGTGAAAGCAAAACCTCAAGCATTAAAAATTCATATGTATAGGCTGCTGTGAATCTCAGTGCAGCCTTTTACTATCCAGAAATGCATAACAAGGAATTCAGTGTCAGAATACCCTTTTTCTGGACCTTGCTCCAGGAAAGACATAATACACTCAGAAATAAGCATGTTGTAAGTTCTGTTGGCCTGAGAAATGTTTTACACTGGAGGATTCTGAAAAATGAATTGGCATATAGATCATTTATATATATATATACATATATATATTAATATTGCATGTAAATTGCCCCTGAATTATGCATGTACAACAATTCAGTTTCCTTCCCCCTCTTCACGCATTTGTAAGCCTTCAGCAGAAAGCTGTTGCTTTTTTTTCACAGGAATTTAAGCACTCCTCATAACCATGCGATCAGTTCAGCTCAGCTCAGGATAAGCAAAGTGGCAAATGAGCTGGCAAAACAAGCTAAGTAAATGATCCATGTTTTGTGTCTCCACCTTCAGGTCTCTAAGCAAAAAGAAATCAGATAAATTTGTGTACGCATGTCTGAGGTGGTCATGTGCAGGGTGTTCTGTGCTTTACTTTTATACAGCAGCAGCAGCACTTGAAAAAAAAGCAACTACTAAAAATAAATGTCAGTGAAACCTTGAAATAAAAATCAAATCATAAGGATGCCACTCAATCACTTTGCTATAACCAAGGAAGTGCCTATGTGGAAACTGAAGGATTTCACTGTCTTGTCTTAAACTAGTTTGCACAGCCTGAACCTAGCCGCTTCCATAATGTTCATTTCACATGCAGAATGCTTGTTGGAGGTGCCCAAGCAAACAGTGCTGTTATTATGTTATAATACATGGATTTCCCTTTGCTGCCTGACAAAACAGTCAGACCCACAAGTGTTACTAGCACTTCAGCCTCAAGTTCCACCTTGGAGCTGGTGGGATGGTCCTGAAGTTCCTGCCGGCAGTATTTTTTTAGATTGACAAACTGTAGTGAGTTTCTGAGATTCATTTCACACTTCAGCTGTGCCCCATCCTCTGCTTATGGAAATGAGCTGAGAAATAGCAGACTCTGCACAGAAACCGTGCTTCCTTGTTTGTTCCTACTTGCTGTAGGAGGAAAGTCACCAACTATTCAACTGCTGCTGTCCTTTCAACAGATGCTGTAGCACCCTCACACTTCATCATGTTGACTGTGTATGTCTTGCTTTAGATGCTGGTTTTCCCTTGTGAGACTGAAGAGTCGTGGAGACAGCAGCCACTTTCTGTGATACAGAACACGGGCTTCTCTGAAGGTAAGGGAAGCCCTTATACTGACATGTTTTATTCTTACATCTATAGTATGTGGTGCACACATTGAAATATTTTATGGATAGTAGATATTAAATAACTTATAAATGTACTTTTTACACACCTTGGGAATTCAACTTGATTTTCCTACTTTGACAGGACTTGACAAACTTCCAAGTCTTGACAAACATCAGCTAGTACTTTTCCTATTTAGAGTTTCTGTCAGTGTGCTTCTCCTTTTATGAACCAGTATCATCTCTTACATATTTATAGTTTTTTTTTTGGTCAGGCTATCAAGTGTAATAAATCAGTCTGCCACTATCTTTGGCATCTGGAACAGAGTATTTTTCCTAGCCAGAATTTTCTGACTTCTCTGAAGTTGTGAAAACAGCTGTCTTCCCTCTAACAATGCTTCGTTTCCTTTATTTGTTGTTCTTCAACATGTTTCTTGGATGTTATTATTCCAGTTACAGAAAAAGTGCATGTGATATTAAAAAAGGTACAGAAACATACTACTATGTTTATTGTGTTTACTATTTAATCAGAGATTAAAATGCCAAAGATAAGAGGTTTAGCTCTACTTGGTGGTGGTCCAAAGGTTGGTGTTCCAGAGAGTTAGAAAGTAATTATTTATTCCTAGATAATTTTCCTTCAATTATGGATTTTTATGTTTCTATGCAGGTAGCTCTGAAAGTAACACCTCCTATTTATTTCCATGGAAATTGTAACAGATACAAAGAGCAAAATAACACTATTTGATGGAGCAAATTCTCAGCTATAAAACACAGTTTTTCAACAGTCACCATCATTAGCGATGTATTTTTACCATGATGAATAAGAGACTGTGAAAAACTGCATGGCCAGTTGAAATATGTCTTGTCTTCCACACTGCTGTCACCACTGCTGAAATGCATCACCTGCTGACTCTCTGTGCTCTTATCCACTGTTTGATCTCTGTAAATGTTCAGCAAGCAACAATTAATGTAAATGTATGCCATTTTTTTTCTGCATAGAGAAATATAATGATAAACCTTTTCTTCATCCTTCCATGTCAGATACTGCCCTGTCACAGTGCCCCTCTGCTGTCATCTGTCATATGGAATATTGGTGAGAAGGATCAATCTCCACTGCCATACCACCAACATCCACTTTTGACACTGTGGGCCAATGTAATAAAATAGGAGGCATTACTTTTTGAGCAGCCATGTTGTATGGTAACTGTTGAGTCAAGGCCTGAATCCCTGATTGAGCACCTGGGGAAAGGACAGGGGAAAGCACCTAGGAGCAAAACGTGAAGGCAATTCAGCTGTGTGACTAGAAGGGGTGGAGTCTGGCTGCACCTTTCTTAGACTCCATTTAAATGCTGAATGCCACAGGGGAAAATTTCTTTCTGGAGATTCTTCCTTGTTGGAGTTTTCCCCTGTGAACCTGGGATCTTCTGATGTGGGTGAGCAATCTTCTTTCCTTCCCTTATAGCACCTCTCTACTGCGCTACTCCTTCCATCATCACACCTTTGTTGTAATGTCTTTCACATTGTACTGATCTGTCCAATTACTACATGTGTACTGCTGTTATCTTTTATTAGTAGACTTTCAAGAGTGTATACTTAACATGTTTGATTTAGGACTTTACAAAACACACTATACATCCTGTATTTCTGGCAGATATTGAATGAACAGCAAGTTGTTTTGACCAAAAATTCAAATTGGGTGCTGCAAATAAAGCGGTTACTTGGAAACAGAATTAACCTTATAAAGTTTTTTTCACAAGCAGCAGTTTTGATAGGCGTGGCTTCTTCAAAGTGAGCTGAAGAAAAATACTATTTTTTTGCCTCTGGGTGAAAACTAGTAAAAAGTTAGAAACTTGAATGAAGAGCATTTTGAAGGAACAAGTATTTTCTAATTATCTCTTGGAATTGTGAACTACCAATTATATGAAATTCTGTCGGCTGAAATTTCTTGACTTTGTCAGAATGGGGGGAATATGGGATGGGAAGGAAATCTTAAGGAACACTGACTTCTCTGTAGCTTTTATGCCTAGTGTTTTAAGTGTTTATCCATCAGGAACCACCTTAAAATGATTATGTAAATATATTATGTTTGTATACAGATATCCCTACTATGTTACTCCATCTATTAATATTTTTAAATACAAAACAGCTCTCCTTTCTACAGAGCAGCGCAGTAAACAGATTCCAGTTTCCACAGGTTTGTATTTTTCAAATATGTAATGAATTTTCATTTTAATTTCAGATGAGGATGTAGGATGTTGCTAGTTGTTTTCAGAAAATCATCTTCTAAAAAGACTTTCAATTTTTTTTGTTCACTTCCTAATTTCCTATTATTGTTCGTGTTATACTGAGAAGGTGACTACTGGTACAAGCTCTCTGTGCCCACTTTGCACCATGCTTTTCCAGCAACAGAAGGGCAAGTGGCAGGCAAGAAGGCTGCAACAAAGGCAGCCTTAGGCAGAGGAATCCTGGATCTGAAGAACCTCACTGAAAAACCCAAACTAAGATATTTTACAAGGGGAAAGGCATTTGAAGGGAAAATAAAGGAGTAGAGAATTCTCATTAGAATTCTTCATGTAGATTTCATAAAGTAATCTGGTTTATTCTCCCCCCCCCCCCCCAAAAAAAAAAAAAAAAAAGTATTTTAAAAAAGAGGTCTGAACAGTGTCCAGAGATGAGTAGTCTCACACCAATGGCTTGATTTCTAAATTTTAGTAGAGATATTCTGGACTTTGACGTTAAATATATGCAATTTTTATAAGCGGAACAAGAAGCAAAAAGATTTTCAGTCAGAAAGTTAATGTGTCACTAGAAAAATTTGGATGTATCATTTAATTTATTTTCTCAATTTTTTGAAGGCTCTTTTCCTGCCTTGTTGTATTTGCATTACTGGCACTATTGAGCCCAGGGTGTTCTCACATGTTGCTCATTCTCTTTCTGCTTTGATTTCTGTGCCACAAGACTTACTTTCCTACCCTACTTCTTCACTTATGAAGACTTGCATAAATTTTTTACAGAATTATAACTTCCTTATATAACAGTTACATAAAACTTACAAAGAAATATGAAGCATATACAGCTTTGTTGGAACAATAAGGTTACAGGGAAGATTAACATTTACTGGGTGTTTGATGTAGGACTTCTAGTTTCCAATACTGAGAAATGTGGGGGAATTCTGATTATCTTATTTGTAAGGCTAAATCTGTATTTAAATTTACATTTAAATACATGTATCTGAATTTATACCGCTCAAATTACTATTAAATCATGACTTTGTGCTACTGTGGAGGCAAAGTCTGTGGAGTCAAACATTGCTATCACAGAGAAGAATGCAGATTCAACACCTGATTTCTACTTACTGTTGTCCCAGGGCCTTCTTCAAAAACATTTTTCTTGTTGACAGGGGAGGGCTGTATTGCACCAATCTGAATTTGGATATTGGCTACCAATTAATGTATTTCCAAATCAAGATTCATTGCCAGCTTCAAGCTCGCCATTCCAGTCACGGTAATATGAAAAACTGCTCTTACTGCAAGTGGCTATACAGTATATCTGCAGAGACAAAAAGAAGTGTGGAGATTCTTACTCAAAATGAACTAAATTACCCAGGTGTACTAAGTTATGCAGGCGTCTAAATGTTTGGTCTTGGTAGTTACTGTTCAGAAGGAATCTTTTCCATCTTTTCCAGAGGTTGATGGCTGCTGGGATTGTGAACAAAGATAAAGCTTTATTCTGGTTTTGTGTTTGCCAGAAATACAGAAGCCATTTGCACAATGTTATTTCTCTAAATATTGGATCCTTTTGAATTTAAAGAAAATATAGAGAAAACGTGAAAGAAAACATAAGAGTCCTGAAGAACTGAGCTATG